GACGGTTTAACATGATTATGGGAGAACTTCCCGACTGCGACAATTCGGTTCGAGCCATCAAGGAGTATGGCCAAAAAGTGATTACCTTGCGGAAGTTTCCTCGCCCCGTGGACTACCATCCGACGATCACATTCACATTGAAGGATATGCATGGGTTACACACTCCGCATAACGACCCGCTGATTGTGGAGTTACATATCCACGATAGCAAAATATTGGTGGACACCGGCAGCACGGTCAATATGATCTTCAAAGATACTTTGACCAAGATGGGACTCCAGGATAAAGACATCAAGGCAGTGCCAAAGCCGCTAACTGGCTTTGCCAGCAAGTCCTTCTTCAGTCTCGGCACCATACGTCTCACAGATTACATCGGCGGAGTGACAAAGATTGTCATATTCACTGTCATAGATAAACCAGCAATCTATAATGTCATACTTGGCACACCTTGGATCCATGGGATAAAAGCTATCGTGTCGACTTACCACCAATGCATGAAGTTCGCTACTTCGATCGGCATCTTCACACTTCGCGGCAATCAGCAGATGGCAAGATCCTGCTTTATTAGCGAACGCAAGGTGCGACTCTCCGCGAAAAAAACCCTCGAAGACACCAAACAAGCGGAGTAGATTCAACAAAGAATCTCGCAGCTTTTATATTTAGTCTTTTTTATTTTATCAATCAAGGCCGGCTTGGCCCCTGAGTGATAACACTCATTCAATAATTGTAGCGAACTACGAACGGCTTGATCCCAACTTGGGTACGTAGGCAACCTCTGGGTGCAGCTGTTTATTTAATAAATTTTTATTTCGAAAATAACCTCGGCAAGTAGAGCAATCTTCCCTTATGCGAATGCATCTTGCTGAGTCGATGTTCTGGCCAAACATTTGATTCGAGAAAGCAAAAAGCAAAAATTAAATTAGTGGCTGATCAGATTCGATTTAATTACTTCTGAAGTAGATAAGACGAAAGCCAAGGACAATACTCGCACGATCCTCGATCATACCTTTCAGGCCGAACTGAATCCTGATAACTTGGTATTCGGTCTTGATTGTCGTTTGGTATAAGACAGGCAAATGACCCGCTCCCAGCTCTGAACTAAAAAGTTCCATCGCATAACGGAAACTTTAAAAATTTAGTGATCGCTTCGACTTACTTTTGCAAAAAAGTACACAAAGCAACGGATATTAAATTCTAATATATATAAGAAAAACCATTTCGGGCAATGTCATGACACAAAATGCTATACAAAGGCCAAATAAATTACAATAAAACAAATACAAGTGAGGCAGCCGCTCAGCTCGAATCATCCCTTGGCTCTGACGTCCTTTCTTGCGCCTGCTTCAACAGCTCCTCAATGACAGATCTGCCAGCAATAAAATAATAACAAGAGCTTAAGAAAAGAGCAAATGTTTTTTTTACAAAAAAACACGTAGTGGTAACACTAACCTGCTCGGCAGACTAAGATCATCATCGGTAATAGCTATCTCGTCGATAGCACTACTTGCAGCCTGCCACTTCACAAATTCTCTCTCGAAGGCTGGGAGCGTGCCAGTAGGGAGTTCCCACCCCCTTTTCAAGCATCTTCTTCATATACGCCACCATGGCACCACTCTTTTCCACGCCAATCAAGGCAGCTTTGACGTCCTCTCGCTGGGCAAGTGACGTTTGAACCCACTCCATTCGCGGCTTAAACCAGACAGCCATGCTGTTAAAAACCTTGTCAGCAACACCTCGCATTTCCTCGTCGCGAGAACCTTGAAGCTTCTCCTTCTCGGCAAAGAGCTTTTGCGAAGTCTCCTCGTTCCGTTTTTCAAGGACCTCATTCTGTGCTTGGAGGGCTGCGACCTGCCTACGAAGTCAGGATGCCTCCGCCACCTCGCTCTGAAAGGCTTCAATGGTGCCTTCGAGCTGGGAACACTTCTCTTTGAGAAGCTGATTCTCCTCTTCCGCTTTCTTGAGATCTTTGATCTCAGCACAAGCGACATCTAGCATCATCTCCTCTGGACAATAATTATTGTCGTATGCAGACATGTACCCTCCCAAACTCTGTACCACAATATGCTATCAGAGGCACGCAACAAAACGAAGTAAGAACACAATAACACAAAACATAAAATATATGTGTACCCGAGCTATCAGATGATTGGCCGAGGATATCGACTCCGCCAGCTTCAGCTCCCATAGAGGTTTACCACACCTTAGGTTCTTTCTACACTTCCAGATCAGATTCACAGCGAATTCACGATTCAGCATAGTGGAGTAGCTCCATCCCACTTTGCACTGAAGTGGTGAGGGTTGTAGTCAAAGAACTCCTCTTCCTGCTTAGGCTCGGCGGGAGCACTCGGCCCGGCATCTTCGGCACCCGAAGCACCGGTGTCTTGTGGGGAAGCGGGCCCCTCAGAATGAGTCGTAGCAGGCTCTTCGGTCCCTTTTCGACCTTCATCTTCTGCCTCCTGAACCACAAGACCCTGAGGAACCGCAGCAGCATTCTAGGAGTCTCCATCACCCCATGAGGAATGGTCTCTTGAAACGCCTCGCCTTGAGGATCCTCTGTAGCCTTTTCGGCCCCAGCTTGTCTCAATCTTTCCCGCGCCACGGCCCTGGAGAAACTATAACAACGACAAATTTGTCAGGAAATCATCTCGGCTCGCTAAAACAAAACATAAAATGAGGATAAAGGTTTACCTCGCAAGAGTCTCATTTTTTGCAGCCGGCTCGGCTTTGTTAGAATCCACCCAAATGGGCGGATCTCGAGGAATTGTCCTCCTCCGCTTTGTAGGGGAGCTCGTAAGGATATCTGCTCCCATTGCCGGAACCGCCCTTCTCCTCTTTTGACTGACCCCTTTGGATCTCGGCTGTGATGCCCTCTCGGCTGAAATATCAAAAACATGTAAATAAGACGTTGTGCTCCAAAAAGGGAAGGAAAGGAAGAAGCTACTTCGATCAGGTAATGCACCTGGTTTCGAAGACTTGCCTCCCTTCTCAGCCGGCTTGGCCAACTTCTTCTTTTTCTCGGCGGCCCCCTTTTTCTCCTTCTCGGGCCATAATTTCTGGCTCATGTTGCACAGCTTTATGATGTCAACATCAAAGCTAAACGAATCCTTCCCAAGGCTGATCGACACTGTCACGATAAAAGAAGGAACGAACACGTTAAGCATGTCGAAATCAGCTAAAAAAAAAGAGGAAGCAGAAGTTCAGTTCGGCTTACAAGATTTTGACCTCCAAGTCCTGAATAAGTCAAGCTCGGAGCTACCGATAGATGCTTCATTTATCTTCACATAGAAAAAGAAGTGGTCCCACTTGTGAACCTTGCTTGTCGGATCCCCGCCAACAATCCCCTGCTTCAGCGTGGTATAAAAGTGGCTCCACCCCCCGCGATTTAACCTTCCACTCTTCAAAATAGATATCCTTTCAAAGATATCCCAGTTGAAAGGCACCTTCGCCATACGGGCCGCCTCCGTTAAACTGACAAAATGACGAATTACGACATGAGAGAGCTGCGCCACTGGCATTTGTAAATGCAGAAGTAACCCTCCGGTGGCGTCGTTACTCTCTCGTGAACTTAAGGAAGCAAAAGCTCAACTCCCTCAGGAAAACAGCACTTCGACCGAAGCTCCTGGAGCCTTTCCGCGGTCATCCAGGTCCTCCCGTCCTTGATGCCGGTCTTGTGCTTCGACATCGCAATCTTCTGCGGAAGATACTCAATCCTACTCACTGACTCGGAGCTCTCTGATTCCATCTCGGAATCTATATCAGGGTTGTTCGGCGAGATCTCATCTCGGTAGCCTAAAGACTCCCCCCCCCCCCCCCCCCCCCCCCCCCCGAGAGAGAAATCTCATCGTCGTTGAAAGAAGAACTGTGCGATGAAATCGATATTTTTCAAAAAGAGATATTTCTAGGAAAATAGAAGAAGAAGAAGGAAGATCGGCAAGAAAGTAAGAATTTTTGCAGCAACGAAATAATTTTCGCAGAAAAATCCAAGAAAAGTGAAAATTCTAGAGCAAGAAGACAAAGAGATAAATATTCTGTAAAATGAAATCGAAAGAAATATCAACAGGTTCCTAAAAGGACGCTTGTCGAGATTCGCACAATCTTGCCGTTTGGCAAACCTTTCGCCTTTCCTGCTTAAGGCAAAACCCTAATGGGTCGAAATATTTAATAATTTATTCAAAGGAAGCGCCATGTGTCAAATCCGCTTAAAATCGGGCCGAGCTGGCCATCGCGAAGAAACGCTCTTGACGAGCTAGCGCTTGGTGCGAGATCAAACCCATTTAATTTCATGAAGTCCGCCGACCTGATTTATAATCAGCCTCGCCGAACTATGGGGGGGGGGGGACTTACTGTTAAAGGGGAAATGAGCACATTTCCTAAAAAGGTTTTTCTAGCAATAACTTAAGCCCATCAAGACCAGGAGAACCGTGCCGACCTAGCTCGGACAAAAAAAAAACTCCTAAAGAAAATCTTTGAAATCTGGAAGCATCAGATTAACTCAAAGGATAAAGGAGAATTTCCATATTCTTCGGAGAATAAGGGATATTTCCATATCGCAAATATGGAAATATCGACCAAAGGGAAAAAGGAAAGGAGTTCGGAGCAACCGACCTCCTATCCCTATAAATAGGAAGACTCCAAAGCTGAAAAGACCAATTCATACAATCGAGAGAGCAGCAGAGCAAAAACTAAGAACTCCAATGCTTTCTAGCTTACTTCGCAAACATTTTCTTTCACCTCGGCATAACCTCTCGGTTAAACCATCTCTTGTAATCTGCTTCGTCTTACAGCTATTAATAAAATATCTTATTTTCCGAAATCCACCTGTTAATCAAATCCTTAATAGTAATTTTCAGGTTCAACAGTCGGTTCTTTGGAGATGGTGTCACCAGAAATAAGGCCGGTCGATTCTATGGTGATGGTGTCCCTAGAAGAAAAATCTAACAGAAAGAAACAATATTCGCAATGAAGATCAATCCAAGCGAAAACGATAGAGAAAGCCATTTATGAGTAGCACTTATCGATAGATATACCTATAAATATTACGTGACCAAATAGCCATAAATTTAGTAAACGAAGCAATAGTGACGATCTGAACACTATTACTGGCTTGTCTCCAAAAAAACTCAATAGCTTTTAGTAGTCAAATTATCTCTCAAATGATTAAATAGTTATCGAATTAATGTAACTGTTTTTACATATTATTAAAACAAAAATACTATCACTAACTTTTTAGTTCTAAAAATATCATGAATTTGTTTCAAAAACTCCTTAATATGTTTCCAAAACTACCACAAAATTAAACTTTGAACCTTATAAACTTGACCTTAAAACCTCAAAGTAAACAGTAAACTCTAAAAACTATATCATAAACTCAAGATACTAAATTTAAATTTAAACTAGGATATTGGCCCGCACGCATGTGCGGGCATGAACGATTTTAAAAATGTAATTATTTAAATATAATATTTAAATCTATTTTAAATATTTTGATTTTTTATAATATATGAAATTCAAAGTCAGTGTTTTGAATTATAAGACTTTAAATTAAATAGTAAAATATGATCTAATTTTAACTAAATATTTGTTATAACCAAAAATTCATTTATATTTTGAGACAGACTTGAAAAATAATTATTAAATTTTGAAAACACAATAATTAATTTTCTATGATCAGGCTTATTTTAGATGGTCAAATGGGTCAAATCCGTAGATAGCTGGTTACCTTCTTCGGATTTGCGGATCAGGCTGCAAATTTTATCTTCTCTGCCTTTTTTTTTTTGAACAAACGTTTTTCATTTTCTTTATCTTTCTATAATCTTTCTCAATTTAAAGCATTATTTCTTCAAGGATTCCGTCATTGTTGGTCTCGATCTACTCATATGTGCGATTTTTCTACTTATAATTTTATCAAGTAGATTCTGCAAATAATTGCAAGATCATCTCCACTTAAGCATCAAGTGTTTCAATCAACCATATTGCAAGACATGTTTCAGCGAAGGTTGGATATAAAACTCTGTTTACTGTCATAATATCTTCAAAACATACTGGTCTTCTCTGAACATTTAGCAACATTTTAGGTAGAAAAACTCACCATATTCTTCTGAGACTTCTGGAAGGCTAATATCGTAGGGAACATTGTTTTTTCTGCTGCGAGGGAGCCACTTCTTAAATCTTTTATGCCAAACTCATTTGTTTGGAAATTCAGTATAGCGATAAAACCTTGCTTCATTACACTCACGATTGGAGTGATCTATACAACCTTCAAGTTTCAATTTTGCCATATTTGATTTAGATAAATGGATTGATAGAATTGTAATGCCCGCACTTTGAGTTAGGGTTTGATTTGTTTATTAGGGTTTGATTTGTTTAATACTCATGTGTGTTGTGATGTTTTCTTATATAGAGATCCAAGTATTTAACTTTTTCATTAGTTATTTGGGATGAACGTATGTTTATATGGATCTTTTTGGTTTTTTATTAAATGGATATTAAACTTTTCAAATAATGTATAGGATAATGATTTTGGTTTTTCATTAGATGCACGTTGATTTTTTAGGATATTCAACGTTTGTTACGAAAAATAATATAGAGGATTATTAAATCGAAATCTTATATTTATATTTGTTATTATTTTTAAACTAAACTAATCTTTTTAAATTTTAAATGTTCTACAGAAGATCATAACAATATTTTATTCTGTTATTATAATTTCGCCAACTAAAGTATGTGAAAACATATGTGCACGTAAATGGAGCACGTATTTACAAAAAGTATGAATTATTTGGTAAATGATTTGATCAATGTGATTTTGTTATTATAATTTTGCCTATTGAAGTATATAAAAATATATGTGCATGTATTCCATATGAATATAGTATTATAATATATATATATATATATGTGTGTATCTGTATGGAAAGTCACAGTGGTCCATGACAGAGTTATAGTAAATTTAATAGATTCATAGTATTGTAATATATATATTTATATATGTGTATTAAAATCATCATGTTCAGCCTAAAATTTATCTATTATTATCCATATAAATGAATAATAATATATCAGGTCATTCGTAATGCATCTAGTGAATAATTCCAGATTTAGTTATTAGTATACTAAATTTTATCATTTAATTAAACTTTTTATTAATGAAAATATCACAAAAATAATCTTTTTGTCATGTCATAAATCACATGTGTTAGTAAATGACATGTCACATTCACAATTACATCATCATTATACATCATCATTTCCATGTCACATTTAATTAGGATAGAAAAAAGATTTTAACCAATCAAATTAAAACAAATCAATATTTTTTATTAAACTATATTCTCAATTAATAAGTAGAGGATATTAAAACTATAAACCATTAAAATCATTTTTAGAGTTTTTTTTATTTCTGGAAAAATGGCAAATAATGTTACGTTCAAAATAAAATGATAGTGATAATATTTGTAGAACAAAAAGGAAAATTACTATGGAAAAAAAAAAAAAACCCTCCGCAAGCGTTTTTCTCCTTACACTCAGATAAAAAGCAACATGCACACAAAATCTTTTTCTGGTCTTCACAGGGTCTTCATAATTTGATTGAGATAAAACTGAGCCAAAACTACAGGAAAAGGTTAATGCCGATCTGTCTTAGCACTTGGTATATTCTCCCATATTATGTTTTTTTTCCTTTTTTGTATTTTCTAATTTACAATTTTTAATTAAAATTCTTTGGTATCTTACAAGTGTGTCGTGGTAATGTGTTAGAAAGATTTCCCAAGTTTATGTATGTGTTATTCAATACCTCTTATCAATTTTTGAAATTATTTCAATTCCTTAATTCAAGTAAGGTTCATAAACTTGGTACTTACATGAATATGCATCGAAGAAAACTTATTTATAATCGATTTTCGGTTATTAAATTAAAAATTAGCTAGCATTATATATTTTGGTTTTCACTATTTACTTTGAGTAATTATACACTTTATGTCTTGGTTTTCAAGGTAAACAGTATTTACCAGACATTATTATATACAGTTTTATATACAGTTTTATATACAGTTGTATATACAGTTTTATATATTAGGTAAGTATTATATATGTTTAGAAAGTTATTTTGTAAATATCAGATTTCTTCTTTTTTTTTTAATTTGAAGATTCATAAAAAAATCAATATTATGTTTTATCTTGTGATTTGTAGATTTTGGAGTTTTAATCTCGCGTCAAAGAAATTTAAATTTAGGATCGACCTTTACATATCTGCACAATGGGCAAGCGGTTACCTAGCTACATATTGCTTTGGTTGAAGAATATTTTTTTAATCTACCGAGTACTAGTGTTAGTTTTTGTAGACAGGAAGTTGCTGAGCAGTCTTTGAGTAATAATAAACTAATCATGTTTGATTCGTTACATACATGTTTTTAATTAGTTTCTTTCAAGTTTTGATATGACATACTTGTGTCTTTAATTTTTCGATAAATATAAGTCTGATCATCTATGATCCGATATTATGAATGCACTCTCCGGATAATAAACTCGTCATAGTCGTAACCATATGATTATTTTGGTCTGATTCGGATACTATCCCTTCATTCACAGAGATAAGATAGACATCTTCCTATGGGGCGTTGTAGAGAAAAAGTGGATCCGTGTGACTGTGTCAAATGCATGCTGAAGTATTGAGTATATGCGATAACTAGCTTTCAATATTTCCACGAGACCCATATACATTTCTTAATCTTAAATTATAGAGTCATGGAGAAATTAACATTCTATACTTCATTTCCGTCTCTCATATACATATTTCTTAATCTTTGTAATTTATTCAATTATAAATAGACGACAAGAACACCGTTCATGTTAAAAAAGTATACCAAGATCATAAGCAGAAATCGAACAACGAGAATGCACCTGAGTACAAACAAAAGAAACTACATTTCTTATACATATAAGATACGATAGAAAGATAAAGTTTTTATTCCATGAATACGATATGGCAGATCAATTATAGCGAACACATTTTTCTTTTGAAACTCAGTTTACCATGTATGTGTTTATTTAGTACAATGGAGGAGGGGGAGAGCTATAGCTATAGCTTGGTGGTGGTGACGATTTGTAAACATATGGAGGAGGTGGCGAAGATTTGTAAACGTAGGGAGAAGGTGGTGGCGACTTGTAAACATATGGAGGAGGTGGCGGAGAGCTATAAACGTAAGGAGGTGGTGGTGGCGACTTGTATACGTATGGAGGAGGTGTCGGAGAGCTGTAGATGTAAGGAGGAGGTGGTGGCGATTTGTAAACATAGGGAGGAGGTGGTGGAGAGCTATAGACATATGGGGGAGGTGGTGGTGACTTGTACACGTATGGTGGAGGTGGTGGAGAGCTGTACACATAAGGAGGAGGTGGTGGCGACTTGTAAACGTATGGAGGAGGTGGTGGAGAGCTATAGACGTATGGAGGAGGTGGTGGTGACTTGTAAACATATGGAGGAGGTGGGGGAGAGCTATAGACGTATGGAGGAGGAGGTGGAGATTTGTAAACATAGGGAGGAGGTGGTGGAGAGCTATAGACGTATGGAGGAGGTGGTGGTGACTTGTAAACATATGGAGGAGGAGGGGGAGATTTGTAAACATAGGGAGGAGGTGGTGGAGAGCTATATACGTATGGTGGAGGTGGTGGTGACTTGTAAACATATGGAGGAGGTGGTGGAGAGCTGTACACATAAGGAGGAGGTGGTGGCGACTTGTAAACATAGGGAGGAGGTGGTGGTGACTTGTAAACATATGGAGGAGGTGGTGGGGAGCTGTACACGTAAGGAGGTGGTGGTGGCGACTTGTAAATGTAGGGAGGAGGTGGTGGAGAGCTATAGACGTATGGAGGAGGTGGTGGCGACTTGTAAACATATGGAGGAGGTGGTGGGGAGCTGTACACGTAAGGAGGAGCTGGTGGAGAGCTATAGACGTATGGAGGAGGTGGTGGAGATTTGTAAACATATGGTGGAGAGGTATACACATATGGTGGTGGTGATGGTGGAGAGTAGGTGTTCTGGGCACTTGAATGAGCAGCAATGGCATACAAGGTCAAGACTAACATAAGAAGAGATGACCAATTCTTAGGATTAGCCATGTCGATTGAACTTGTGTGCCCTTTGCTCTTGTCCTTGTTTTGTTAGACTGATTCGTACTATTCAACCAAATTATTTAAGAATGAATGGTAACAGAAATGAGGCAACTTATATAGCACTCAGTATGACAACTAGTATATTTGTTTATTGAAGTATATGAATGTTTCTTAGAGGAACAGTGTTATAATGTTTAATAAGTCAATTTACCTTTAGAATTTGTCTAATGAACTAGAGACGAATATGTCTTTGACAATTACATCTTGCCAAATTCTATACTTGATTCGGTAGACTTTGAAGTTGTCAATTTAAATTCAATTTCATTTAAGTAAGAACTTTTCGTAATTCTCAATCAGTTTTTATTAGTAAACACAAGTTGTTAATTACATCTTGTTGCAATCACATATATAGGGTTAGTCACAAATTTTGCACACCTCACAATATTTTAAGTTATAGTTTTGTCCCATGGTCATCTATTCAAACTTTTATTAAGGCTAGGTCTTCTGTGTTAAGTAGATATCTGTTAGGGGAAGATTGCGCGTTGCAAAATTTCTAATATTTTGATCATGTTTATTTTATTATTTGTTTTGTAGTATTTTTAGTATAAGTTTATTATTAAATATCAGTTACTAATATCTGAATATCATGCAATATATATTATTGAATGTTTGTATAATAATAGTAATACCTATAGAACATGTTTTATTTATTTGTTGTAAGCGTAAAAAGTATTATATTGTTTTCTTCGACAGTAAAAATATATATTTTTGTAGTATAACCAATCAAAAATATATTTGTGGTAAAATTTATGATTACAAAAATAAAGTGTTGATATTTTTTTTTATATTATCAAGATATAAATCATAATTGTCATATTCTTCTTATCTACCTTTGTTTGTGTTCTCTCTATTCCAATTATAAAATCAATATTGATGCGTTTGGATTGAAATTATCAATTTAAAAAGGACTCTAGCAACCTAACAATGCAATAAAAAGAAAGCAGAAATCATATGCAAGTAAACAAGGACTAAGCAATGAACTCAAAGCAATAACTAAGCAAGAACTAAATGAGAAAGACAACTTAAGCAATACTAAGCAAAATAATCTTAAGACAATTATTAAAAAGCAAGACTCAAGATTCTAAGAAATTGTGGGATAATGGCTTTCAAGAGTGACAAAGGGGATTTCTAGCAAAGGCAAACATCAAGCATTCATAAGCAAGCAATTCTCAATGATGTACTCCTAGACAAGGTATCTAGAAGGAATCAGCTTGGTGTCAATAAGCAATTCATATTCAATAAGATTGAAGTGTCAAATCCACTTGTGATGGTGTATTCTTAAACTATGAGCATAAAGATCAGAACCATTCTAGCCTAAGAGAACTACTAAGCAAGCAAACATTCTCTCACTCAAGCGAGAATTCAGATCAACCTATCAATCTTGTAAACCATATATGGACCTAGTTAGCTAAGCACCAATCAAGAATATGGACTTAAGCACACAATTGCGAAATCCTAACAATGGTAATCAATGAATAGGAATCAAACAAAGGCAAGATCTTTCAATGCATATTATCTAACCATCAAGCAAGAATCTCAAAACCAACATTTTCTAGCCCTAAGCGAATGATCTAGCAAGGTGAACTATCACTTTGGTGTCATTGAACAAAAGAAACATAGACCAAGCTAAACTATAAAGCCAAATAAGCGAACCAGGCATAGAGATGAGATATCAAGACATCAAGTGAACCATATGCATCAATAAAAACAATATTTAATCAAAAGGAGTAAGCTTTATGGACAATAACCACTTTGCAAGAGAAGGAGACAACATAAAACAAACTAATCAAGTCTAATCACCCCTTAATCACATCTTAATCACCATTTTCCCTACTTAAAAACCCTAAATCTAAGGTAAACTACTCACTAATCATGTTTAATCCCATTTGTTTAGAGTTAAACATGATCAGATGAGGTTAAAATGCAAAGATAATAAATTTAAACTACCAATGTGCTAGAAATAAGATCAAGAGACAAGATTAAACCATAAAAGTGCAAACTTTATTAAAAGAAATGATTCAAGAGCAAATTACCCTTTAAGGTGCAAGAACAAGATGAAAAGAGAGAGGTTTTGATAGAAAGCAGAAGATAGGATAAAGACAATGTCAAAAGAAGCATAAAAAACCTAAGAACAAGATAAGGTCAACGAAAATCAAGTGGTCAATGCGCGGATGAGTTGCATCGAGGTTGTACGGACGGTGTTCTGCTCGATGTACAACCTCGATATGGCTCGCGCAGCACGTATCAGCTTCCCTGCTCGATGCTGGACCTCGATGCAGACCAAAGGTTTAGACTTCTCGAACTGATCCTCTTCCTCACGTCCTGCGGCTTTTGTGGAGCACACTTCACAAAGGTTTTGCTCGATATGGACCAGACTTTGCAAACGCTCCTTCTTGACATCCTCTTCGAACATAGCTGTTTCCATCTCCTTTCCAACTCCAAGAGCCTCCAAAAACACCTGAAAATCACCACATACATGCACATGTATGCAAATGTATGCATTTCTAAGCTAAATGCATGCAATATTGATTCTAAGTGCAAATGAGACTAAAATGCTAAACTATAATGCAAAAACAAAAGAAAAGATGCATGAACTGCAACCTAAAATGCTCTAAAATAGCAAGCTATCAACACCCCCACACTTAGCTTTTGCTTGCCTTCAAGCAAACAAACACTTAACATGGTGATGAGGTTTTAAAATAGGAACTCATATCTCTAAAAATGCTAACAATAAATCAAAATGAAGTCCATGTTCTTAATTCTATAGTGCACTTGATGGAAGAATACCTTAAACACTTAGCCACTTTCATCACAAAACAAGAATGATCACAATGCTATCAACCTATAGATGCTCATCAAATCAAACAAACTTTTTAACATTCAATTAAGCTCAAACCATGAATCATGCTTATGCAAATAAAAATGTGTCATTTGGCTAAGGGACAAGGCTTAGTAGAATAAAAATGATTCCACTTATCAAACTGGTTTTGGTGTTTAAAGGGTTCTCTGAAGGAAAAGCATGGTTGTGCTTTGGCAAAATGCTAACGGTCAAAGAACAACTTACACATACAAAGGAAGACTCCCATCTACCCAAGACCTATAAGATATGTTCCTAACTCTAGCTAATCAATGTAAACCCGCCTATGCTACCATTTTTTAAGAATTTTTAACCCTTTTAGAAACCCAAACACTCTTCTATTTCAAGTGCTTTGGAGGACACACTTCTTCTTTTGAACTTCAAGAGGTGTCGTTTGCTTCTTTTGAGTTTGACTCCTTTATTTGGTGATGTTGATGCTTATTTCGCCTTTGGCTTTCTGATTTACTTGCTTGCACTACTTGCATCTTCTTTTATTCTTTGAACATGAGTCTTCTTTCTTTTGAACTTAGAACCACCATTTCCACCTTTGCTTGTGTCACACTCCTTTTCTTTGTGTCTTGACTTCTTTTCTTCCTTGCTTCTCTTAAAAACTAATCCAAGATAAATCCCAAACCATTCCTCAAACATCCTAGCCTATCTAACTCAAGAGTGAGATAGTTCTACAATGGAAGTACTTCCCTTATAGTTCCAACCCAACACTTTTTGCTAAGCAACAATCATGATGGAAAGAGGCCTCACAAGAAACACACTATTAGTGTCTTGGCTTGAAAGGAGGTTTAGTTAAGGGTGAGGAAGATCCAAATATTTTAAACTATTCATGACATCAATCACAAATGCATAAGACATGATAATTGCAAATTCAAATTAGGTTCCACTTAAAAAAAAATTGAAATCATTTCAAAGCATGCTTCAGTCTCAAAAAAAGCTCACACAAATGCAAATTCCAAAAGTGGTTCAGCTTTATTTCTAGTTCAACATCAAATGCACCAAAGGATTAAAAACAAGAGGTTCATTTTTATAAACTACTAGCATTAACAAATATGTACTATTAAACAAGAAATCTAGTCCTATATGAATGCATGAAGTCTAGATCCAATAAGAATGCATGAAAATCAAACTTTTTTGTGAAGCAATTCTAGAAAATATTTCAATTTTTTTTGGGTTTTTATATGTCTTGGATGCTATGTAAAACATGATGCATGGTTTCTAATCTTATATGCAAATGCAAGTGCAAACATCAGTCCATCATACACCCTCCCACACACTTAAATTACACAGTGCTTATGTAATAAAAATGCTAAGGAGAATGCTCACAAACATCAAGCAAACAGTCCCATAGAATCCAAAAATAATTTGTGGTATTTACAATGGTTAGTGTGGTGTACCCTACTTCAGATGGAGGAGTGGTGAGAGTCTGAACTCTCAATGGCATGGGAGGGAGAAGCTTCTTCCTTAGATGGAGTTTGCTGTCTAGCTTTCTCTTCTTTCCTTTGCGCCTTGGAACAGCTACATGAGATGAGTGTTTGGCCGGTTCAGCTACATGTGTTCTTGGCCTCTCACTGATGTGGAAAGAGTGTCTCTCCTAGACTGTGGCTTCTGGTGTGTCCTCAGACATGTCATAAGCATCAGATCCTCCTCCTTGTGGCTCTGCTTGAACCGCTTGATCAGTTCTCTTGGCTGATGAAGATCCTCCCAACTTCTTCTTGAGCTTTCACACTTTCTTCTCCAAGGAATCAACCGACTTCTTGCTGGCTTTAACTGTTTTCAGCAAGCCTCTAATGGCTTTATCCTGGAAATGGTTCCACCTCTGAAGAAGCCTAATATGCTCATGAGCAGCCTTTGAAGCTTCAGATGTGCAGATTACATCATAAGGGTCAAATGCACAAGGGCGGCTTTCATAGTCTTCACGTTCATCCGCCTCTCTCCATTGATGCTGAACCTCTTGTTCTTGATACTGCTCTTCAATATCTTCTTCCACATCTGAATCTCTGATGGTGCTCATGTTCTTAACCTTGCTTGGACTCATCAATGGAGGCTCAGTCCTCTTCTGTTGGCATGAAGCGAATGTTCTCATAAGTGGTGAAGTTGGTGAGGCGCTGCCTTGGCAAGATGATATTTCTCTTCCT